GTTTTATAGGTGGGGTTATTAGTCCCCTAATATGGATTACAACTATAGTTATCCTACTTATAACTCCACTTATAACTACCCATGAACCTCCAAGTAAACCCTTAAAGAGGAAGCGATAGAAGCTTTGAGAAGCATCCATGGAGGAAGTGGACATCCGCTTGAACTTCATGCGGCCGGAGCGATTGCGATGCCAGAGCCCTGGCGGCTGGAGTGCATAGAGGTGGTTGCAATAGAGAGTCGCTGCTAAGGGTCCGGTTTAGGGTTTAGGGGGGTTAGGGTTTAGAGTTCAGGGTTTAGGGTTCTGTTTTCCGGAGTTGGGGCTGCTGAGTCAAAGTTGCGCGAGGACACAGATCAACGGCAGGCGCACGAAGGGGACAGCTTTCCAGGTGTGGCCGAACCGCTAAGCCCTCACGCCCGAAAGCTTTACTATAGGGGCCTAAAAGATTACCAATCCTATTTGGGGAGAGGTTCCTTTTTATACTTATAGTTATTATAGTATAGTATACCCCCCAAGTTACCCTATTCTAATTATTGAGGCCCCTACATTATGGTGTTTAGGGTGTAGGCCTCAAGCCTCTACACAAGTGGTTCTTGCGGGGCAGCGAAACATTCGACATTGAGATCTCAAAGTTGGGCTGGTTTTCCCCCTTATCCGACTATTCAACGAACAAAAGCATCGAACATCTGGGAGCTGTTGAAACCCTACTTGGAGGTTCATGGGTAGTTAGAAGTATGCTTATAAGTAGGGTAACTATCGTTACACGCCATATAGGGGACTTATAACCCCACTTGTATCTACCCCTAAACCCTAAATCCTAAAAGCCCTATAGAACCCTTTACAGGAACCCTTCAAGGAACCCCATAGCCCCACTTATAGTTTCCCATGAACCTCCAAGTACGTCCCTAAACCCTAAACCCTAAACCCCAAACCCTAAGCCCTAAACCCCTAAGCCCTAAACCCCTAAGCGCTAAACCCTAATAGCCCTACCCATGAACCTCCGAGTAAGTCCCTAAGTCCACCCTCAAAGCCTCCCAAGCCAGATCCGGAGCCTCCCGAGCTTTAATGAAACAAGGCCAGGAACCCTTGCAGCGCCCGATGCCGGGTTTAGGGTTTTATGGTTTTAGTGTTTAGCATGTTAGGGTTTAGGGTTTAGGGCTTTCGGGTTTTAGTGTTTAGGGTTTTCGGGTTTAGGGTTTAGGGTTTAATCACCCCCTTCCCCCTCCTCCCCAAGCTCTTCCGCTTCAAGAATTTTCTGTGCCTCCCAGCCGCCTACGGCCGCGGGCCGGGCTACCTCGTCACGAAGACGGGGCTGGGCACTGGCTGGGACGACGCCGGCTCAGGCCGATGTTTTGTTTCACTTGGGTCGTGCTCGAAAGGGTGTATTGCGTTTCAATTGCGGCTGGGTTTTGTTCTAGGTACCCGATCGTGCCTGCAAGAACCTTAATAAGGTTGAGGCGCTTGTTAGGGTTTAGGGTTTAGGGTTTCCGGTTTAGTTTGGATATTCCCCCCCACTCTGTAACACTGTACGACAGCTAGTTAGACATGATTTTGGATTATGGTTATAGAGCGCGTGATATGACCCCGATTACGGACTGTTACAGGGTGGGGGCAGTACCCAAGGTTTCGCCATTCGAGGACCTACGGGGGGTTGAGGGTTTCGGTTTCGGCGGTTTGCAAGGTTTCGGGCTTTCAGCAAATGCGGCTCGAGCAGTTCCTGTGAGGTCGTCACAATAGGTCAATCTTCCGGGGCTCTAAAGCAAATTTGTGGGTTTAGGGTTTAGGGGTTTAGCGTTTAGGGTTTAGGGGCGCATGAATCGTTATTATCAGAGTCAAGCCGCTGGTCCTGATCCTCAACAGGCCGCGCTTTGTCGAACATGGGTTGATCAAGTTCATGGATTGAACAAGTTCGTGGCTTTAGGCAACCGCCACACACCTAAACTTTGCAGCCTCATTCTTAAAAGCTTTCGGCGGTGGGATTTAGGCTTCGTGTGTCTAGGGTTAGAGGCTACCCTGTATAAACCTTCCCTTAGCGCGGTTTGAGGCAGTCTTGAGGTTCGGATTCGGTTTAGGGGTCAAGATTTTGTGGTTGCAACTTCTCTAATTTTTTGCCTTTTGAACCTACTTGTATTAGTATAAGTACCAGTACATCGTGCCGGCAATTTAGAAGCGCCAACTGTTTCCAAAATCTTGGTAACCTTGGTATTCCTTGTAAGCTTGCCTTTGTCTCCGGGGGGGAGAGGGGTTCCGGTTTAATATTCTTGGTAATCTTGGTAATTGTGCACCACTTGCACCTCTTGGACGGTTACCAGTAGTCTTGCCAATCTTGGTCATCCTGCCAGCGCAAGATTACCTAGATGACCGGTCCCCCGAAGTGGTGCAAGTGGTGCAAGATTAATGTAGGGGTCTAAATAATTACCTATATTATTTTGGGGCCCTCCTTACTGTTATGATTATACATATAGTATATTGGGCCCCAGAATCCTATTTCTAATTGTCAAGGCCCCTAGAATACCGTATACAAAAATCCATAAAGCCCCTTATAGAACCTGTCAAGGAGCCCTTTAAAGGAATCCCATTCTAATTCTTAAGGCCCCTATATTCCCTAAACCCTAAACCCTAAAACCCTGAAGCCCTAAACCCTAAACCCTAAAACCTAAAACCCTAGACCCTAAACCCTAAACTAAGCCCTAACCAAGAGGACCCAGATTACCAGGGCCTTCCCCCGGTGTGAAAAGGCCCGCGAATCCGCAGAGCAAGACGACCAAGACTACCCCGACAATCTGGCCACCGTTAGTGGTGCTATTTATTGGTATAGTTTCAGTATTAGTTAGTAGTTTTGGGGGTTTAGGGTTTAGGGTTTGGGGGTTTATTGTTTCGGTATCAGTATCTCTCGAAGGAGCAGCGGGACTTCGCAGGAAGCGGGGAAGTAAGGTGATACTCGCTGGATGGGCCGTCATGGCTCGGGGCCTGCCAGCCCACTTGCTAAGCTCCGGATCCCCCGAGTCTTGTATATGGGTGTTCTCCACATGAGGGTCCCTTTTATAAGGGTGCCGTACTATTTGGAGAAACAGACTCTAAAGTAGTGGAAAAACCAAAACCCTAAACCCTAAACCCATATGTAGCCTCATAACACCCGAAGCCCGACTTGGCCAGCCGAGCCTGAAGCCTCAAACAACCTTAACTGAAAGGGTCCTAGGTACTCTTATGGGGCATACTTCCCCAAATCATGGTAGTAATTCCTAATATAGAAACCCTACATTCTACTATATAGGTACCTTGGACCCTTTGGGTAACGTCTAAGCAGCAACCACCCCAACCTCCCCACCCACAGAGGTCTGACTAGTTCGCACCTAGTCTTTTTGTGGTTTCTCTGTACTTACGCATTCTTACGTTAATGGCGCAATATACACCGAAGCCCTGTTCTGCCTATTCTAGTTACTACTTCGAGATTAGACTCCTATCAATCCTTCTTGAAACTCTTGCTTGCAAGAAAAGAAGAAACCTATATTATGTCGCCGTGTTGAAAAGCCCCACACAACCCCATAGAAACCGGTAAACCCCTAGAAAAGACATTAAATGCCCTATTCAACCCTATGAGCCGTAAGCCCTAAATCCCAAGCCACCCTAAACCCTAAACCCTAAAACCCTAAATCCCAATCAACCCTGCATGACCAGGGAGACCTGCAGATTCAATTCTTCGGCGCTCGACAGTGGATCCCTACGACGACACGCCGACGCCTCGCTTGCATGTCTGCAACGTAAGGAGCTCTTGTGCCGATAGCCATATTGATACCAATAGTCATGGTATGAAGTAGTAACCCTAAGCCCTAAACCCTTAACCCCAAGAGGGCTGATATTGCCGTGGAACATAGGGATTACATGGTGTGTGCTGTGGACGACGTGTTCAGGTTCCTGCATGTGTAGACTACTTCTCTCTGTCTTACATCTCTTTGAACATGTGTCAAAAACCAAGCCGTAGTACTCACCATAGACAAGGTTTATGTTTACTAGTTTTCAGAGTTTTCAAGCCGACATGGAGCCTGAAACGGTTTCCTCTGAGACAGCGGAAAATCCTGCTGGGTTTGGCTTGTGGATTATTCAAACCGTAAACGTTTAGGGTTTAGGGCTTTAGGGTAAACCTAAAGCCATCATTCACGACCCTGAACTCTATAGCACAGGGCCTAGGCAGGCCTAGATCCTTAAACTCTAAGCCGTAGATCCAAATTTAACAAGCGTGCACGACAAGTGTCGCATTTATAGATATCGCGGAAGTAGCCTGAAAGCTTACACCCTGACTCCTTAGCACCGAATCCCAAGCCCGAAACCCAAAACCTTGTTCTATTTGTACAGGCCCCTGCGGCATTACCCTACAATCAACACTTGAACCCTAAACCCCAAATTAGCTATATTATGGGTAGTTCTCTAAACTAGGGTCCCTTTTGGGGTCCTCTTTGCAAGGGTGCCGTACTAAGCCGTCCTATATTAGGGACCTAAAAATTGGACCCGTATTTAGAGAGCTACCCATATATTGCTACCCGAAGATCAGCGCCAAGCCACTCGGTTTCTGGAGGCTACTCGACATCCTTGCGCATCAAGCTCGAAGTCAGCTCTGTCTTATCCACCCTAAACCCCAAACCCTAAAACCTAGGTGGCACTGTGGGAACCTTTCAAATTTTCTTCATGGTTTCCTATAGAGGTACCTAATGATTCATAAATACTTTCCGGGATCCCAAAACTACAACCCTAAACCCTAAATCCAAAACCCAAAACTACAAGCCCAGAAACCATCTGAAACTCTAAAGCCTACTATTCCTGAACCCCTCCCCGAGGAAGAGCCGGTGGTGTTATGGATGTATAGGATTGAGGGTGGGCCAAGGAAACCCCAAAACAGTGTCCCCGCGATGTGCAGGATGTACTATAAATAAGTTTCTGAACGACTGAGATAAGAGCATCCCTTTGCAGCCATCACAGCCTCTCTCGCGTTAGTTGTGCGCAAAGCATGGAATCGCTGCCTCCACCAGCAGTGAGAGTTTGGAAGGTTTCCGGTGATGAAGTGGCCACACTCTCGGCAGAAGACGCGTTGGACCTGAGTGCCTAGACCATGTTCATTGAAGCCCCCATGGACTAACAACTTGCGGGCTTTTGTCCGTAGCATTTTATTTGTGGGAACCTTCGGGCTCGGTTACGAAAGCTTGTAAAGTACAACACATAGCCGAAACTGCATGCTGGTTCAATCGAGATTGCCTATCCTCGGCTGCAGCCGAGGCAATGTTCGGAGTTTGAAGAGGTACCTTGCAAGGGAGCACGGGCTGCCAGGACGTGTGCTACGAAAACAAGCAACTTCCTTGTCCAAGTCTTATCTTTGGTAGCTTGTTGGAATGTACCACATCTTTTGAACAATCAGGAATACGGGCCTGAATAAGGCGGTTTGGGTTATGTTGCAGTAGAAGCATATTCAAAGACCATTAGGCAGAATTATGGCCACAGCCAAAGAGAAACACATACCCTCTTCATGCATTGCCACTGTATTCCGTCTCGTTTCTGCATTCAGACTTTGCCATACTGCTAGATTTTTAACCAAGCTCCATCTATGTGCCAGGATTCTGTCAGAGGCTGTTGCAGAACGGATTGGAGTTGGAGGATCACGCTGTGGTCGACTTCCCCAGTGAGCCGCAGCTGGTCATGGTGCAATCCCATGTTGTCTCTCCCGCGAAAGAATGGCAGTTGGCAAATTCTTTTCATTCACGGGACCTGCAGCAAGCTGAGTCTATTCTGGGAGAGCCGTGCGATCTCAGAAGTGTCTTGAGGCCAATCCTAAGCAATGCAGCCGCGGCCGGACATACAGAGGCCGTCGATCTACTCTTGTTTGCAAATCCTCGTCCGGGTCTCAACAGTCTCGGCACATCTTTGCACGCGGCCTCGGAAGGAGGCTGCGTCGATGTTGTGCGCCTGTTGCTGCGGGCTCGTGCGGACAAAGACGCGCTAATCTCCGGAAAAACACCACTTTCCAAGTCGGCTGGCAGAGGTCGCATGGAAGTTCTTAGCCTGTTGCTGGAGGCCGGTGCCGACATGGAGAAGGGCTCCCCTCTGTGTTCCGCCTGTGCCAGCGGAGTCGCAGAAGCTGTTCGAATGCTGCTCAGTGCAGGTGCTGACGCACGCACCAGGGCGGCAGACGGGCCGCCTGTATACATAGCCGCTGATAGAGGCGACATTGACATATTGAAATTGGTTCTGGAAGCAAGGGCCAATGCAAACGACACATCAGGAGAAGACACGCCGCTTTACAGAGCTTCGTTCCGAGGTTATGCAGTCACAGTCCGCCTGCTACTGGAGGCCATGGACCCTATGCTTGAAACCCTGAACCCAAAGCCGTAAATCCTGAAGCCTGCAGGCCATGGCGACTGTCGATACACTCGTGCAGGGCAAGACGCCCCTGGCGGCCGCGTCGGGGAGGGGTCACAGCAAGACAGCTCCTCGGCCAGTATAACCCTAAGGGTCCATGTACTTTATAGTGTATACATTGGCCCCAAAGTGCCTATATAGGGACTACTTTAAGGCCAAAGTATCTACTTGCTATTTGGGTACATGGACCCTTAGGGTAAGATAATAATCATTACGGAGAAGGTTTTGTAGTGCCAGACAGAAGAGGATCGTATGACCAAGTATTCAGGCCCCAGAAAACCCATCACCTTGAACCTTAAACCTCGCCTGGTTCCGACATCATGAGGCTAGTTTAAGAGTTTGGGGTTTAGGGTTTAGGTGTTTAGGGTTCTCTGATTGGGTTCTGCCGGGGGTCCTTAGTGCGCGAGTGACGTCCGCTTTGGGCCCTCTTAACAGATATCCAAATCTAGACAACCACACATGAACCGCCTGGGTGATTCCGACAAAGGACGAGAGAAAGCAAAGTCCAGGTGCCGCACAGGGCGACACGATTCGGGATCAGCAAGCAGCAAGACACTCGATAAACCAGCCACGTTAAACAGTCAGCAAGCGCCTGTAATTAGGCAGTTACTCCCGTGTGCCCTATACACACTACATCCGTTACGAGATCAGAATGTGCCGACAGTTCTATTCATTGCACCGGACATGTTCCATGACACAGCTGTTTTGGTGCTGCATGTGCACAACTAACTAAACCCTAAACTCTAAACCCTATCAGCCCCAAGCCCTACACCCACGACGTATGCCAGCTTTTCCCTCCCTAAACCCCATCAGCCCTATAGGCCCTAAACCCACGACGTAGTCGAGCTTGCCCCTCGGATTTTCCTCAAGTTTCAGGGCTCAGGTGTCAGTTTTTTCCGACTTTTGGTTTAGGTTTAGGGTTTCCAGACGAACCCAAACATCATCCGAGGTAAGGCTGCTTCTCAAGGCGAAGGCAGACAAGGACCGATAGTAGTAGGGGTTTGCAGCCTTTGAGGCGTCCTACCCCTCTAAACACCTCAGGACACGAGCTCACCACTCTGCTCGGCCATTCGCAACGAACACGGAGAGACTGGGCAATGGGTCGTTCAGGGCCGGTGGGACGTTAGGAGAAGGGTTTTGGGTACATTGTGGGTTTTGGCTCGTGCCGCCTATGCAGGCACAGTAGAACCCTAAACCGCACACCTAAACTTAAACCCTATGTAAGCCAAAAACTCTAACCCTAAACGCTAAACCCTAAACCTGAAATCCAAACCCCAGAAGATAGCCGCGGCCAGAACTGGAACCTAGTTTTAACTCGAAAAACAGTCCTAAAGTGCGCGAGCGGGTGGTGCCGCTCTGAGTATATGTAACGAAATGTCTATGTTTGCATCCATGTATGTGTCTCTGTGTATTTATACGTGTATATAGATATATATATATACACATATGTATATATACTTACATACATACACAATATATATATATGTATATACACACACACACACCTCATCTGTATGCGTATGCACATACATATGTGCCTATCTCGGTGGCTATGCCCATGTCTGTGTGTATGTTTATTTCCACGTCTACATCTAGGTCTGTGTGTATGTCTATGTTCATCTGTTTGCACATGTAAATGAACATGGGTACTGTGCATATATATATATATGTATATATGCATGAATGCTATGCATATGTATAAAACTGTTATATGAATAAAACAAACAAATAAACAAAGGAATGAATAAATATAGCAATAAATGAGAATACATACATACATATATGCATACATACATACATACATACATACATACATATAAATAAATAAAT